CCCCTTAGTGCCCACAGCTCACCTTCATTTACCGCATCATTGACTTGATGGTGGACACTTAAGTTTTCTCCAATTTCCACTGTCAGAAAAGATGTTTGACTGGCATCCTTCTTGTACAAACATTCCTGTGTTCTTGTATGAGTATTCGTTTAGTCAAGGATTCTCAAAATTCAGTCCCTTGATGTGACAATTACACACATCACAGGCTCCTTTCAAGTGACTCTAGAAATTCCTTTTCCTGTGGGTAATGAAAATGTAGAATTACTTATGTAACCAATTCTCTATCGCTGGATATGATTTCACTTCAGTTTTACTTCCCACCATTGTATACAGTGCTGTGTAAATTCTCTGATGAGTACATCGTTTTGAACTGATTTTTTTTCTAAATTAAACGATTCCTAAAAGTGGAGTTGAGTCTGTGTGTACACACGTTTTTCAGAGTTTACATATCCATTGACACGTCGTCCTCCAAAAAGATCTCTCATAAATTTTTCTCCCACAGATTAACACTTGCTAGAATATCTTTGAAAAATATTTGGCAATATGATGAGCCAAAGTGCTTTTTCATTGTTTTAGTTTGCATTTGATGACCAGTGAAGTATTGAGCATTTTTCACTCATTAGCCATCTGACTTTTAAAAATTGAATGATCCCTTTTGTCCTTTACAAACATTTAAGTGAGGGAACTTCTGGTTGCTTTGTGACAGCTCTTTGTATGTTATCAACATTAACCCCTTGTCTTCATCAGCATGTATCACAGAGCTTTTCCTTGTCATTTCTTGCCTTTCATTTTGTTCACTAGGTTTATTTCTGTTGTGGCCCAAAATAATCTTAAGATAGTAAATGTCTTCTTTTTGGTTTTATCCTTGATATTATTCTTAGAAATACTTTCTAATAAAGGTATAAATCTCTTCTGTAGGTTTTTTTAATCTCTAAGATGGAGATGATAATAGTACTTGTTATACTGAGGAGAAGTTGAAGTAATATGAGCAAAGGGTTGTATTTGCTGTTATTTAAACTTTCTAATATTTACATCACTATCTGTAATTTTTTTTGTGGTCATTATGACAGGAATAGAATTTGTTTTTCCAGGTGATTCTCTGATTGTCCCAGGACAATTATTGAAGTCATACTTTGCTCTTTGATTTAAAATCGCATCTGTAAAAAATACTTATGTATACTACAGTCTCTTTTTGAGTTCATGGTTTATTTCTGTCAATCTTACTTTCTTACTCCAGTGCTGTACCTTTCATATTGTAAAAATTTAATATCTGACACTGCGATTTTTTTGATTCTTTCTTCCATCCCTAATTTTCTTTGCTAGTATTATGACTTTATTATTCCTGAAGAATTCTAAAACACTTTTTTCAAGTTAAAAAAAAACGGATAAGGGTTATCATAGGATTTTTTAGTAAGTTTTGAATTATCTTTAGGAAAATGTACATCTTTACAAAACTGCTTCCCTCCATAAAATATGTTGATGTCTCTACATTCACACCTCTTACTTTACCCCGCAGTACAGTCCTGTACTTTCTCCATGTACAACATGGGCATTGTTTTTGAGTTTATTCCAGATTATTGTTGATGTTTTTGTTAATTTTGTAAGTTAGAATTTTTTGCTATTACATTTTGTAACTGTTAAAGCTGACACCTAGGAAGGCAGATTCGGTTTGTAAATACTCACTTTGTAAGTTGTCATTTAAAATTGCAAGTATTAAGTAATTGTTACAGAATCCTTTCTATTCTGTTTTTAAAAATTTGTTTCCGAGATTCTCAAAATGGTCATAGCTAAGTAGTATAGGTGGGGAGACAGATGGAGAGAGGTAGTGTGGCTCATGTACAAACTGTGAGCAGTTTTATGGCTACCTTTATGCTGGAAAAGCCGCGGAAGTTCCCAGGTCAGACCAGGGTTGGTTTTGTATGCACTTGAAAGCCAGCTTTCCTGCCTGTATGGTGAAACCTGGTGGGCGAGGCTGGTTGATGATCAAGGTCGAATGGAGGTTATTGGCTGCAAAAAGTGCTGTGTCTGAGAACTGGAAACCATCGCCATGGGAAATTCTTGGTGCCGGGAACAATGCAGGGGAGATGGGGAGTCTGTGTGTTATGGATTTTCGAGCATGGGAGTGGGAAGATCAGACTCTGCATTCAGATCTGAGTTTGAATTCATCCTCTTTAGTTTACTGGTCCTCTGACTTTTGTCAAGTTATATACCCTCTTTCAATTCTTGTTTTCCTGTCTCTCAAAATAGGAGAATTACGGCCTGCTGCTAGAGTGTTTGATCAGGGTAAATAATTTATGTCTATAAGATGCCACGTACAGTCACAAGCTCAGTGAGAAATGGGCTGTCGCCTCTTCTTCTACAACTCAGTGCTTGACAAGACATGGGGGAAAGCTGGTCCCTAATTTGTGTGTGATGCAAGTAGGAACAAAATTAATGTCTTGCCTTTCCTTAGCAGTATTCTTACTCCTTTGCTTCATTTACTTCTTTCCTCCTTTACTTTCCCCTTTCCCCTCCTCCACCAAAACAGCCTGAGACTCTCTCAGAACACTAGATTCAAATTACTTTAAAGGTTGTCTCATCCTCATGAAATGAGAGTAACATAAAAAAATCTGTACACATCCCAGAATACATTGTATTTGATTTACACACACACATGTGCGCGCACGCACACACACACACACAAACACACAATCAGGCTACCTCCCACTTGCAGAGGGAGAAGGACCACTTTTTCTGAGTTTTCATTCACTGAGCGTGAGGACAAAGTCTGTTACGTATAATTTCACCAGGCTTTGTGCATGGTGCTTTTAATTGGATTTCTGCTTTTTGGACATAGATATAGTCTCCTAATAGAAGAGAGAAAGTGGAGACATAGACATCCTGCTGAGATATTGGTGTCATCATATTTGAGTTGGAAAAGGCTTAAGGCAGCATAGAGTCGTAACATTCTATGGGTGAGAATCCATGTTGGTGTAACTTGGACAAGAACCTGGGTCTTCTGCCATCTTGTCCACAAGGGTGAGGAGGCAACTGGGAAGGGGATGGCAGGGATCGTTGTTTCTTGAGTTCCATGGTCTTGCTACTTTTCATTGCTCAGCTGCCTTTTCATGAGACCTCTCATGGGAAGGTCACTCTATCCTGATAGATTGAGTTTCTTATCAGCAAAAACTCTGGACCCACTCATATTTTCCAGAGTTTTCTGCTGACCTGCTGACACTTTATATAAATGAGACCTAAGTAACTACTGAATATAAAATCCTTTTTGTTATCATTTGCCCTCGAGTTCCATAGGAATGGTGTGCTGTCTCAGGTTGTCTAAAGCTAGATCTGAACAAAGATAGGGTGATAGGCTGTGCTGCTGGACCCTCCACAGTCGAATGGGATTTCCACGTTAGTTTTTAGAATCAGGCAGATGAGTTCATATCTTGCCTTTACTAGTTATTATCTTTGTGACTTGGGGGAGAAGCTGTACTTCTTTGTGTCCAATTTTCTTTATCTGTAAACAAGTTCAGTATTTATTTTAAGATTTCTGTTCTAGAATTGAATGAGCTAATTCCCTCATTTATACCTAAAATAATGATCGCGTGGTTCTATGCTTATGCCTTGGTAGTTGATTACTAAGGGTCTTGGCAGTGAGAATGGGGGTGGGGGGCCCATGAATAACAGAGCTTATATTCCAGGATATGCTTGTAAAAGACTGGATGTGCAGTGGATATTCAGTAAATATCCACTCCTTTCCTAATCTGCATTGATTGTGTATATATCTTTATACTAATATACGGACAATTTTTATTGCAATTTAAATATCTTTGTAGTATTTACAATATGTAGCTATAAAAATACGTGAAATAAATGATTTGAATTTTCTTTTCAATAAGCAAAACAAAATAAAATAGAAAAGAAAAAAGTTTTGAAGGAGTAGAAATAATTTTATTTCCCTGGAATCAATTCCGTATAATAGGTATTTTGGTTGTGTTGTTAAACAGCATATAAAATTGATAGGCTGTGACATACTGGAAATGAGGAAACAGTGGAGACATACTACCTCTAATGCAGTCATTTTGTTACCAAGTCCAAACTCGTTCTGCTTGCTGCATGACAGGCCAATAAATCGGGAGATGAGATGTTGGAGTAAGGAATAGTGACTTTATTTGAAAAGCTGGCAGACCCAGAAAATGGCATACTGATATCCAGGAGAACTCTCTACCCCAAGTCAGAATTCAGTCTCCTTTTATACTAACAAGCACTGGGGATGTGGTTGGTTGTTGCAAACTTCTTGCTGTACAAATTGTTTCTCCTTGTAATCCTGTGTACTTGCAGCTGTCCATGTCGGTCAAATTATGGTGCCCCCGTAAACCCTCCAAAATAAAACAAAGGTTATTCTCTATTTTGCAACTTGCCATCTCTTCATAAGTGTAGAAGAGCTAACATCCTTAAAGATCAGAGCCCGGACAATAGCCTAGCCTGGATATTTCAAGCTAAAGGCAACTTTCTTTTACAAAAGGTGCAGAGATATCAAGTCTGAGCCTAGAAAACAGGGTACAGGTTTAAAAATAATTGAACACATCTAACATGGAGTCAAATTTGTTCTTTTGTATTGCAATCTCTTTTTCTACCTCATAAATAATTTTAGTAAGAAACATGAGCAAATTTTTTTTACTTTTGCTTCTTAATAACGGATGAGTGTGTCAAATACACCTTTGTGACAGGGATGTTGTGCATTCCTTGGTGTCACAGCAAACTCTTGTTGGGGGTGGCCGACCCTGCAACATGTCTGATGTCCCGTGAATGTTGGTGAGAGTGACCCTAAACAGGGGATCTCTTCAGGAACCAGCATATGTGCATTGACCTCTTCAGACCTCTTTTTCAGCTGCAGAAAAATTTTTCAGATACTGTGATGGAAAAATCACTCCAGCTGGGGATAATCAGGGAATACAGGAAGAGGAAAAGGGCTTGGAGTAGAGTAGAAGAGAAGGACAGAACGTCAGGGAGCCTGAGGGCTTGGCAGCGGGGCCTCGGGTAAGAGAGGAGCAGAGGTGGGGAGGGGCCTGGCTACGGAACCAGCTGCTGCACTTTTTCCCGCACCCAAGCCACACAGCTTTTAAATGGGCCCAAGACTCTCTCCGGTCTGGATGTCACCCTGGGCAGAACCTTGAGAATCGAAGGTAAGGTGTGAGAGGCACTCATCTAGGGGTCACTGAGGACTTTGGTCAAGTCCACAGTGCCTTTTCTAGTCATGTGCCTTCACCGGTTCTTTATCTCAGGATCTGAGAAGCAGGAGGAAGGAACTCAGGGAGAGATCCAGGAAGACACCTGACTGTGTTAAGAGACGACAGTCACAGCGACACGGGGAGCAAAGACACTTGCAGCAAAGTAAAATAACTTCACAACTATTGCATCAGAGCTGCAGGTGTGAGAGAGCGTAAGCCTGTCTCAGAGTGCAGGGGGCAAGAGAAAAGGAATGCTAACATTAAAACTGACAATTGAAATTTTG